GAAGTCGAGGATAACTTTCGAACCCAATCCTCAAGGTCGGGTACCGCTTGTGGCATTTAAGGGGCAGTTGTATATCGGAGAAAGACATCAGATAAAATCGGAGAAAGATACGAAAAGCAACGACTTATGAAAACCACTTACGTGCGAAACTCCATTCCTCGGGGAACGACATCTTCTCTTCCGGAATGAGGTCACGGGTCCTCACCCGGATATAACGGCCCATTCAACCCCGATCCTTGTCTTCATCGATGCTCAACATCAAAGCCTTCGATGCCCGACGATGAAGCTTGATTAGTCCTCGAAAGATTTGAGGTCGATATAATCGTATGAGGTGATTCAGGGAAAATCTATACCTCCGGCCTTGTTGGAGAAGAAGCGAAGTAGGGTTACTATACGCCATAGAAAAGGATGAATTTGACCGAGGGTGACCTGATATCTCTTGCAAAAATCAATGATCACTGGGTCAACGGGACCCAACGTGAAGGGGTAAGTATAAACACTCAAAAACCCCTCCACATGAGTGATGACGCTCTCTTTAGGGGAGGGAATTTGTAACACAACCTCGGAACCCCAGTTGCAGTCTTTTCTCAGAGCCTCGAGATGACCCTCAGTTATCGAGCACATGTACATCGACACATGCTCGCATCGACCCGGAACAAACGAAGGATTCTCAACCTTAAAATCGATTTTCAGAGTATACGGGCCAGGAACATACTCATGGGAAGGTGGCTCCACCAGCACCTTGTCGCCGAACAGCCGTGAAGAAGAAGCTTTCTCCTTCTAAGATACAGTTTTCGAAGTTTTTGCCATTTATGTAAGAGAAAGAAAAGTGAAGTAAAATGAAAGGTTGATGGTGCCAAACGCTGATGAAGGTGGCTCTACAAGCGGCGAAATAGAGGCAAAAAAAGTAAGAAAATTTGGGAGATTGAAGATGTAAAAGTATTAAATGATAAATAGAAGGGCTATTTAAAGGTTTATGCCGTGGCGGTTCAGTATCAACGGTGACCGACCACCATCTGACGTGCATTAAATACCTTAAAGTCTAAATCGATAGGACAACTATCACATACGTCACGATCGAGCCCAGTGAGAACGTCATCTTATAATCCGATCGAGCCGTCGAAAATCATATCGCTTCTCACCACATTCTTCCTGAGAAACGAGGGGACTATCTGTATACGGTCGAAATAGATTTCGGCCTTCGTACGTTTGATCGAGTTCGAATGGTAAGCGATCGAAGTGAGAGCTCGAGACGAGTTTCGAGGATAGTGCATACAAGCCTTGAGCTCCGAGACCGATCGAGGAATCGGCTCGGTATCATTGTCAAGCCCATGACCAAATCGAACCGCAAGGCAAAGAAAAGCTTGTCGGAAATGCACAGGCCGATTGACACTCACCCCGAATGTCGAACTCGAACTCAAGGCCGAGGGCTCGACCCAATACCGAGCTCGAGCCAGTATCGAGCTCGCAGACAGGAGCCGTTGCAACCGCACTAGGGGAGAGAATCTTGGCAGGAATCGAGGAAGGGACAATTCATCACGAGTTCTCCACTATATATATTTCTTATTGTAAATAATAGTAGGATCCCTCTACTATAAAGGCGGAAATCCTTGTAAACACAGGCGGACACATTGTAAGACAAGACTACTTCTATTTGTTGAAGAGTAAATCTCTTAAGCTTTTTTACTCAACATACTTATTCTTCTAGTTCAATAATTTATATCTCATTTCTATAGCCAAGAATCCAAACATTTCCACTTCTACGTACGATTTATGTCAGGATATATCACATATCCTTAGAACTATTTATAAATTCAATTATATCCGATTTTTCGGGTAAACATAAACCAACAATCTACTTTCCGATCAAACTAAACAAATATAGTCCATATTTCAACTAAAAAATTAATAATATCGTATAATATATCTCATGAAAATACAAGAAAGATACAAAAAGAGAGAAGAAAAAGTAACATATGGTTTTTGAGGACTTTAAAAAAAAATAAGTCAACGTTTTTCTTCAATATATTCAATTCTCAAAAAGGTAAAACAAATCCCAATAAGAAGGTTCAAGGAACTAGTTTTATAAGAAGGCGACCTCATTTTCTAAAAAGGAGTGTGACATGACCAAAATGTTACAAAACTTAGACCAATGACCTCGTTATTATTAAACTATTATTTGGTCTTAATATTGACAAGCTAAATGGAAATAACTTCCAACTCAATCTCCCAGGATTGAAGATTGTGACGTATGAGATGGTTTGGAGCCATCGTAGACTAAGAAATTAAGAGACAGATCCTTGTAGTTTTCCCAAATAATGAACCATATTCCATGAAATTGCGGTAATATCAGTTACTAAATGTAAGTATCACCAAAGATAGTGTTGGGATGACTGGTTTCTCTCCACATTTCACCAAGATATTTCGAGTTTAAGTCTTGAGAATAAAAAATTTCTTAGTAGAAAGTGATTTACGTGCCTCCTTAGTATGCCTGCCAGCACGAATTATCCGTATTAGTTCAGCCAATGGATTTTGAATTGCGATTCTTTTTCTCTCTCCCAATGGAAAAAGACTTTTAGAAGCTAATCCCTATCCAGTTTGTTCTTTGAGAGTGAAAGCGGAAGGTTCAAGGAAACAAGACATTACTTGTAAAAGTTCACTGCTATTTGTATAATTGTATGTATCCTGCTATGTTAAATGGGTTTGAACATATATGACCAAAACATGCCAACTTCAAGTCACGAATTAATATAGTTAACTTCATACTAAACTAATAGTCTGTTTGGCCAAACCGCAAAAATCAGCTTATTTTGAGAAGTACTTTTTCTCAAAAGTTATTTTGGTTAGAAACAGTTTGTGTTTGGCTAATTAATTTGAAAAGCACTTCTTAGCAGCAATTAGTGTTTGGCCAAACTTTTAAAAACTACCGCTAAGTGTATTTTTCTCAAAAATACTTTTCAAAAAAGTACTTTTGGAGAGAAAGCTACATTTTTTTTTGCTTCTCCTCAAAAGCCCTTTTTTTTTCCTCCAAAAGCTTGGCCAAACACTTCAATTTTGAAAAAAAATAGCATTTGTTTTGAAAAAAAAATGCTTCTAGAATTGGAGAAACTTGGCCAAATAGGCAATAATACTGTTAGAGTTTACGGTCTCTCTCAGCCCCGTCTTGAAATAAAATATGGAAGGTTAGATATTAGAATTATGGTGGAAGTTAAAGTTAATTTTTAAAATATCTGTCAATTCAAATCATGTTCATATTTGTACAGCTCAGACAGTATTTTTCAAAATTTAGAAAAAGCTACGTTAGGACAACTTTTATCCAAATCATCATATTTAGAGTTTATATTTAGTGTACGCTTCTCAACGTAAATTAGTTTGTTTTAAAATTTTAAGTATTGACTGGAGTATACTTAGACCTTTTAGGCTATGCGCCCTCACTGTCGGGATGATTACTGAAGTTTTAGTCAAATTGGTTCACGTCAACACGTAACCAAACAAGACTTGGACAGATGGACCTAATGTTTCTGTCCCTGCTGAAATTTGTTGTGTGTTTCATATGTATTCTCAAAAGGTAGGAACCAAAGAACAAATTATTCTTTCATATATTTGCTTCACTGTCGTCAAGTTTTATCGGAAACAGTCTCTCTGCCCTGCCAGAGTAGGGGTAAGGCTGCATACATCATACCCTCCCCACGGTAGGGGTAAGGCTGCATACATCATACCCTCTCCAAACCCCACTTGTGAGTTTATACTGGGTTGTTGTTGTCGTCAAGATTTTACATAGGATCTGAATGATTCAGGCACTTAGCCTCTCCTTGATGAACTAGTTTTAAACGCCCTGGAAATGAACACAAGTTTCTTTTTCTCCTAAAAATGCAAAAATAAGAAGATTGAGGGGAACCCCTTTGACAGGAGTAATGGTATGGATTTTGCAGTTTTAACATTCTCTGTGCATAAATTGCCTTCAGCAGTCCCACATTAGACTTTCAATGAAACAACTACAGAAACTAGGAAATAGTTAAGTATTATTCCCTGAGTTTGAACCAAATTGAATGTTGCCGTCTTACTTCTATCAGACGCAGTATTGTTTCCAAGTTTGAAAAAATGTGTACTTTTATCAGATAAAAAATCTTCCCAAGCTCGAGACGAGGTGTTACTTTCATGCATAGCGCCTCTCATGGTGCAAGAGAAACGAGCTGATAGTATAGTATTGTCACAAAAGCAATCTGAGAATCCAGTCACTGCGAGAACATTCGGGGTGATAACAAAAATTCTCCAACAAGAAAAAGAAAGGAATGGCATGTGTACATGACTAGATTATAAGATTAGATTAGCTTATAAAATGCAAATCCACAAACTATAATGAGAAAGACAAACAAAGCATGCAAATTTTTGAGAAAATTCAGTTGCCTGTGGTTAGCACCAAGTTCATCACAGGCGTCTTTCAAAGAAATTCTTAGTCCTCTTCCTCAGACGTGTGAACAAGATGACCACAGCGGCCAGGACCCATGGCGGGATATTACCACCAGTGAAGTTCAACTTTTCTGCCCATTGTGGAGTCTCTTTCATCACCAATACTATCAATATGGTGATCACTGCAACACCGACCAATATCCTGGTAATAGGTTTGATCAAGGAGTCCTATAATCAAAGAAGACAAACTATTAAAATCACATCTATGCATATAACAATCTATTTTGTGGAGAACCATGTGAAATAAGCTAATACTTGCAAGTAGATATGCTCATTGAAGTGTCAAGAGTGCCTTGGTAAACTCATTTTATGACATTTTCACATCTAGTTGAGCTTTCTTGGTCTAAGAAATGTATCTTGATTATAAAAGCGGAAAATGGCCAAATATACCCTTGTACTTTTCGGAAAAAGTTTAAATATACCCCTTGTTATACTTTAAGTTCAAATATACCCCTCATTTAAACGGAGGGACACGTGTCATCGTCCTGTTGGATAATTTTAAATATCTCCTAATTAATTAAAAAGACTCATACCCATACCCATACCCATTACCCATACCCGAAAAGAAAGCTTCAAAAGCTTCTTCATCAATGGCTGCTACTACACTAAAACATAGATTTTTTTTTTTGTTGATAAGGACACTAAAACATAGATTCCCTACAAAGATGCAAATATCAACGGAACTTCCTCTCTGGTTGATGAAAAGCATAAAAAAACATGAATGGAGAAAGATGTTTGTCAATAATATAATGTTCATTCCCTTCCTACTGGTTTATCTCCATCCATCCAACTTTATACTTCCCTTAGTAGGAATGTTAAAAAGAAGTCCAAATGTCCTCTTCTCATCTTATTTGGATTTCTCAAGATAGAGTAGAATCAAGAATCAAATCAAGGATTTAGCTTTAATTAGCTGAAATAAAAAGAAGGAAGCCCATAAAAAGCTTATTTATTATAAGTTTGAAGTAAATAGTGCACTCAACAAATGTCATTAGAAGAAGTACAAAATAAGTAATAGCCTACTTGACAGTCTACAGAAGACGTGGCCATTGATGAAGAAGTTTTTGAAACTTGCTTTTCGGGTATGGGTATGAGTCTTTTTAATTAATTAGGAGATAGGACGATGACACGTGTCCCTCCGTTTAAATGAAGGGTATATTTAAACTCAAAGTATAACAACAGGGTATAATGAAGGGTATATTTAAACCTTTTCCGAAAGTACAAGGGTATATTTGGCCCTTTGCCGTTATAAAAGGGATGATATATTCTCAGTTCATTATGGAGAGTGGAGAGCAGTTCCCTTCAATTTCCTTTCATGATCTCTCATTGTTAGGGCCTGCCAATGTGGGCCTTATTTATGTTAACATGCATGTTGATACAGAGTTTTTTTTTCCTGATAACCGATTTATGGAAGAACTTATTTATCTCAAGTAAAGTCTTCCCGTTTGCCAATTTTTGTTTTCAATGTAAGCGCTCAGGAAAATTAGCAGTAATATCAAATTTAGATATCCTTTCAACAGTTTCTGGAAAGTGTCCAACAATGTCAAAAGTTCATGCAGTTCAAGAAAACCTCTTGCAAACGATTCAAGATATAAATGGGTGACTACAGATCATGTTTATACTCACGCTTATAGATAGATCAAGTTGACACAAAGAGCACGGCTATTTTGGCATTTCAATTTTCGAGATTGAAATGCCAAACTGCAAAACTAGAGCACATAAACCTTCATCAACTAGGCAGTTTCTGCTTCCTTTCCAGATATCCTCAGTTTCAGTACTGATTTCTGATGTAAAAATAATTTATTCTGAAGGCTCTGATCACAAAAAGCTCTCTAGCAAAAAAATGGAAATTGCCTGAGGAAAAGCTCTTTATAAAAGAAAAAGAACTAGATGGCACCTTAAAAATAAAACCTTCTCCACTCAAACCACTTATTACTAGTAAATAACTGTTGAAGTTTTTTTTTTGAAGAAATACAAAGTAGACCGCATATGAACATAAATCAGGAAGTATGGGATTCTTAATTTGATTGCTCCACATTTTTTTGTTTGCTACTCATAGAGTCATAGAGAATATGCATTTCACCTAGCCCCATTTAAGCAATTGTTTTTCCATTGAAAATGAAAAACACACGCGAGTAGTAAACATTTCTTTTCCATTAAAAAGGAAAAACATGAGCGTGACATTACAAAAGCGTCACACTAGAAGGCATACAACTCAAAGAATTAGAAATTTTGCTTTTTTTCTATAAATAATATTGTTAATAATGCAGTACAAAGATAGTGCAGAATGGAGGAAATTTAACATTGTTTGTTCCATATTTTCTTACTCCAGATTGCGCGCACCTCGACTATTTCATCGGATACCTGCTACCTCCCCAGCACATGAACCGAACAATTTTGCCCACCAAGACTTAGACAGATGAGAAGAAATCTCCTATTTTTTTTTATTTTTTTTTTGCCTCCACTAGATTTGAAGAAATCTCCACTAGTGTTGTTCCATATTTTCTTACTTGGTAAAAGTATATTCCATTACTTCTAGATGGTTAATGCCACTCTAAACATCCTATTCTTCAATTGAAAAGGAAAGACACCTCCAAGACACATCAAAGCCTTATGTTAGAAGGCATGCAACTCACAAAAATGGAAATTTTGCATTGTTAGCACCATTTCTTTTTTACTTGGTAAACCTACAGAGGATATCCATTTCCTTTAGCGGCTAATTTCCCCTCCAAACATCAACTTTATCCATTAGAAGGAAAGAGACCTCCAAGACATATCAAAGCCTCACGTCAGAAGGCATACAAGTCAGAGACGCTTTGTCAACCTCGAGCAATGAAGCCTGAATTTACCTTGTGACATTTCCCAAGGAACACTCACCCCACATTCTTGAGGGCTCCTTGCAAGTTGCCTATTAAAACACTATCAAGAACTCGTAATTTGTTTTCCCTGAGAACCTAGTTCCCTTACCAAAAAAAGAAAAAGAAGCAAAACCATTCTGCTCCATAAGGTGGATAGAGCTCTATCTCAACACTTCCTTCTAAAATAAGCTCCAGATTCATCTGGTTGTAATAGAGTTAATGAAACTTCATTAGAAGTAGCATCATACCATTAATCCTCAACCTATAACTTTTCCAAATATTACCAATTGGAAAAAATAAAATAAAGAGTACACGTCACATCCTCTGGAAGATTTACGATCTATCATATACCAAGCAATATACTTTCATCCAAACTTAATCACCAAAGATGATGATACAATTTCTCCAAATGCCACTATGCCTAAAAGAACTATTTTATGTTTTCCAAAATTTATCAGTCTTCTCTGTATCATTCCAATATTACCAACTTTACCCGATGTCTCCAAAGAGACAAGTTTTCCTAAATTTCATTCAAAAATCTTCTAAGACAACCAAACACTATGCATTTAGGGCTTGTTTGGTATGTACACAAGCTAAAATAGTTTCCAACGGAACTCTGTGTTACTAATATAACGTTTGATTTGCAGCATCAAATGCAGCAATACTAATTCCATCTCTAGAAAGCTAATACAAAGATTGATTTTTGGTATAAACCACTGAATAACTAATGCAAGTTTTGGTTTGCAGTATTAAACCGCATTGCTAATAACTAAAGAATTTATGCAAAATATATCTATCATTTTATGTGCGACAAAATGGGAGGAAATAATAGGTGTATTAACAAGTACCTCAACAAGAGTATCTTAAAACTAAAATGCACTTAAAGTAGCCAACTCCTATGAGTCCTACCTAACAATCCATATATTATTAATAATCACATAACAATCCCTGTATTATTTTTATTATTATTAGGGAAAAGGGCCAAATATACCCCTCTACTTTCATATATTGTCTATATTTAACCTCCATTATACTATCAGGCCAAATTTACCCCTACCGTTATACTATCGGCCCAAATTTACCCCTACAATCAGCAAACTTTTAAAAATACCCCTTGATCTGTTAAGTAATCCAAAATCTCCCAAATTCTTTTTATTTAAATCACTTGTTGTTCTTCTAGCTCCATTATTTTCAAGAATTCCTATCGATATGAATGTTACCAATGCACCCATTTCTCTTGTAATAAATAAAATTGGTTTAGAATTTTATTTATTTTTCAATCATATACACACCGTAGAATTTAGTGGGTCTATTTATTGTGTATTATATGCAGTTGATCATCATGTATATACATGTATATTCAAATATATTTTGCCATTGCCTGGTAAGTATAGAATTCGATCGACTAACTTAATAGTACACAATGTGTACACATTTAATTAAAGCAAAGTTGAATTAGACAATATAAAGTCTCCGAGTAACTTCAACTTCAATCACTAATACTTGCAAAGTCTCCATAAATTTGGTGCAACGAATTCATTAAAATTGGGATGTTATAAATACTTTTAGAATTTAGAAAAGCTATCTAATTTAGATTTTTCAATTTACTATACTTTGTTTATTCGGTTATATTATTTAATATTTTTTTCCTTGTTTTTTTCTCTCTAATTTAAATGCCAATTATTTCAAAAATAGTGGACCAAAAAGAACAACAAGTGATTTAAATAAAAGGAATTTGGGAGATTTTGAATTACTTAACAAATCAATGGGTATTTTTGAAAGTTTGCTGATTGTAGGGGTAAATTTGGCCAGATAGTATAACGGTAGGGGTAAATTTGGCCCGATAGTATAACGGTAGGGGTAAATTTGGCCCGATAGTATAACGGAAGTTAAATATAGACAATATATGAAAGTAGAGGGGTATATTTGGCCTTTTTCCCTTATCATTATTCACTACGTAACAACACAAAAATTCATGCATTTTTTTTTATATAATTATGGTGTTGAGGCCAGCTTGGGCGCACCTCGACTAATTACACGAGGTACCCGTAATCTCCCCCAGCTATCAGGGTAACTATGTCCATCAGGTTCAAAATACTACTCCTACCGTTCCAAAAAGATTGTCTTAGTTTGACTTAACACAAACTTTAATAAAGAAGGGGAGACTTTTAAGATATGTGGTCTTAAATAAGTCATAACATTTTTGTAGCCGTAAAACTTTTGAAACTTATGGTATGAAACCTGTAATAGCATTTATGTGATTATAAATGCTTCTTATTAAGGAATTATTGAAAGACGCCAATTTTTTTGAAACAAACTAATAAGAAAATAGTGTCATTCTTTTTTGAAACGGAGTAGTATTTTGAACCTGCGACCTCATGTTCTCAACGCACTACATTGAGCACTAGACCACCCTTGGATAACAATTCATGCATTATAATCCTTACATAACTATCCCACAAACCAAACAACTTACGTTAGTTAATAAGAAATTTATCTGAATCTCATCACTTCTGACACTAACATCACGAGAAGTAAAAGATAATGCAACACATAACATGCTAATTTGCTTAATAGCAAATCGTGTGAAAAAATTGTACCTTAGGCTCTCCATCAATATGGATTTCGGATCCATCTCTATAGGTAAGAATAGATCGGCCGTTACGGGGGTTGAATCTGATGGGAACGCCCCGACCCGTATCCGGTTTGAATGCATAGACCGATTTGAACCCGTATTTGTCGAGAATTTCACGAACCTCCAGCTGATCCTGGTCCCATCCACCTAAGGGCATCGTGAATTCGTCGATAGGACCCTTGCCTTGCCGATACAGGTGGACCTTGACCTCCGGAACCTCGGTCCGAACCGACTTAGTCCGAGTTGAATGGTTCGGATCGGGTTTCGGGTTGCTTAACAGTGGAGTCACCTCATCGGCGTCGGTGGATGCTTCTTCGATCTCTACCATGTCGGGAGGCCGGCGATGACACACAGAAACGGAANCTGAGGTATATTTTTTTTATCTTTTTCTTCAAATTAGTTGACTGTATGGATCGTGATCAATCCCACCTACACGCGACTCGTGATGTTTGTTTTTGGGGGTGCAACAATACTCTTATAATTGTTTGAAGTTAATAATAAATTTTCACATTCATTATGTGTTTATTAATCAACTAGTCTCCGGATACGTGCGTTGCGCGTGAACCTCGACGCAAGAAAATTAATTTTTTAAAAGATCACATAATATTATTTTAAAATTTTATTTGATTTATAAAATGAAAGTTAATGAAAAAATTATAAAATTATGAAAATTGATAATTGTTGCTTCTATTTGGCTAATTATGTAAATAATTACTACTAAGAATTATATAGCAAATAGGAGTAGAATATTATTCACAATGTAAGATTAATCAATGAGATATGGAGAAATTACCAAATATTGTTCCATTGGTTAGACTACCTCTTCGAAACAAACGAAACCGTTTGAAAAAGCTACATGATTGTTGCATTTCTTGACTATAGTAGTATTATTGAACGTGTTATTTATACATCATGCCTCTTTACAATTTTAAAATTAAGAAAATAACATTTTTAGATCTCTTATGTGTAAAAGACAGATCTCTTACGTGAGAGATAGGGTCATAAAACTAAAAACAAGTTTATAAAGAGCCACAAAACCAATTGACCCGAACACAATCTTAAATTTTTTGTGCACCGATTGAAAATTAGGGATTACGATCATTTTTGCGGCCTTTATGATATAATAGATGTTGCCTTATTTTAAATGTTACTTCCACACTTGACCAGTGAAAAATATAACTTGAATTTATATTCCCTCTAAAAACTTTTACTATAATTTAATATCGTTAGTAAATATAATGCGAAAAATATTGAATATAATACAAAGATGAAAATAATATTACCTCCTCATCTACAAATGTCAGAATCAATCAAAGGCCTTGATTTGTTGTATTTTTAAATTCTTTAACTACTACATATTGAATAAGTAAGACTTTTACTACCCATTGAGCTCAAACCGTTAAGTAGTACATATTCATTCGCAAATTCAATTTCAGTTGCCATTGTGAGTACATGAAATCAAATGCGCACAAGTGGTTTAATACAAAAAGGACAGTAAAGTCTTAAAAGTCAACCAAAATTTTAAAAAAATTATTTAAAAGAAGATTTGGATACTTGGATCAATAATAAAGATTGCTAATGCACTGATGCATTTGAATCCAGCCAGAATGCACGTACTATTAAATTTAAGGATTGATATGCTTTTTATGACATATACAAAAGCACCCCTCAAAAATGAGGATTAATATGCTTTTTATGACATATGTAATAACACATTTCATTGATCAGGCATAATGTTTACATGCAGTAAAACTAACTTTTTAATATTAGCATAAATATTATATAAAGCTAAAGTAGTTAAATTAGCATATAGTTTATGTAATTCAATATTACGGAATATCTCAAAGCTCAAAGAGTAAAAAAAAAATCATAGTTGAACTGCAATAAAGCTATATAACTTTCAGAATCTAATAAATTATACCACAATAAAGAGATTGTATAAAATATTATTTATGAGATCGATAAGGAGAATTGTTTACCTGAACTAATGAAAACTATCAAAATTTTGGTTAGATGCAAGGGCGCCAATTATTAAGGGCTATTCTCTAATAACCCAATTTTAAAATTGTGATATGTATAATATAGTCAATTAAAAAGGTAATCAAAATTTATTTTTCCTTACAAAATATGAACTACTTGAGCTGGCTAAACAATTAGAAATTAAAACTATCAGCCATATAGTGAAAATAATTTTAAATTAATAAAATATTCAATTGATATGAGTTAGAATGCCTAACCAATTTTATGTGATGAATATAGCGAGCCAAATAACTGTACAACATTCGTAAATGAGTGAAGTTTAAATCAATGATCATATATGAGACATTAGCCAATGATTTATGAGACATTATAAATAAAAATCACAACTGCACAAATTTTCGAGTAGAGTTGTTTATCACTTGTCAATAATGCGTGAACGAACATATATGTTTAGACACTAAAGAACAAAATCACTTTGTTTTTAAGGCAAAGTAAATTATCAAGCAACAATTCTAAAAAGAAACACTAAATGTACATCGAAAGGAGAAGATTTGAGGAGCAATAATGTAGGTATTTGTAATAGTAAATTGAAATAGAACAGAGGGAAAATCTTAAAAAATTGTCTGGTATTCAAAAAATAGTGATAACTCACGGACAATCATTATTACATAACTTTAACAAAATAGTATAGGGTGGGTAAAGAATTTACCTCATCTCACAAATAAATCTTCTTATGCGGACATCAATATTATGAACATCTTATGATAAAGAATGTAGAATAATGCCTTTTTTTTTTTTTTTTTTTAAAAATGGTCAGCTTCTCCTTATTCTAAACTGTTTTGGTTTTAAAATTCTAGAAACCTAAACTGAATCGAAAGCCCAAACAAAGTGAATACACAAAGTATTAACTCGTAATTTAAAAATCCTAAACCTACGACCAGTAAACTAAGACTATATTGAATCCTAAATCTACACCAAAGAGACAATGAAAATTGAATCTTAAACCGACACAAAAGGGACAATAAACCGACACAAAAGGGGACAACGAAAAAAATACCATAATTATAAAAAAAAATAACCTTAAGAATCTGAAAACTAAATGTAACAACCCGACCAGTCGTTTTGAGAGTTGTAGCCTCGTTTTCTCATTTACTGCCCATTTTATGCTTATTAGTTACTATGTGACTTGCCGGGGCAGATGGTTCGGTTTCGGGGGTGTTTCGGAAGGAGTTGAGACCCTTAGTCTCAAGGTAGGAAGCTTAAGTTGAAAAGGTTGACCAGATATTGACTTATATGTAAACGACTTCAGAGTGGAGTTTTGATTGTTCTGTTAGCTCCATTTGATGATTTTGAATTTAGAAATGTGTTAGGATAGTGATTAGGAGGTCCATAGTTGAATTAGACTTGAAATGACGAAAGTTAGAAATTTAGAAGTTTGACCGAGAGCTGACTTTGTGGTTACCGGGCTCAGATTGGGGTTCCGAGAGTTGGAGTAGGTCCTTTGTGTCATTTGTGACTTGTGTACAAAATTTGAGGTCAATCGGACGTGGTTTGATAGGTTTCGGCATCGAATGTAGAAGTTAGAAGTTCAAAACTTCATTAGGCTTGAATCGATGCGTGATTCGTGGTTTTAGCATTGTTTGATATGATCTGAAGGCTCGAATAAGTTCGTATCGTATTTTAGGACTTGTTGGTATGCTTCATTGGGGTCCCCGGGGCCTCCGGTGGATTTCAGATGGTTAACGGAGTGAAATGGGACTTGGAATGACTGTTGAAGCCTGCTGGTGTGAGTGTTCTGGTTTTCTTCTATGCGATCACGTGGATAGGTTCGCGATTGCGAAGGGTTGATGGTCACTGATGGTAATTTTTTCTATGCGATCGCAAGGAGAGTTCTGCGATCGCGTAGCTGGAGCAGTTAATACATCGCGAACGCGTGGCTCAGGTTGCGTCTAGAGGAAAGGCATGGCTGGGGGTTCACGCGCACTTTGTTCATCGCGAACGCGTGATGTAGTTCGCGATCGCGTAGGTCTAAAGGTCAGTGCATCGCGTTCATATAATGTTTTTCGCGTTCACGTAGGGTTAAATTGTGGGCAGTATAATTTGTACTTCGTGATCACGAAGCAAATTCCCTGATCGCGAAGAAGGAATGCCTGGGCAGAGACTTGTTTTAAAAACAAGACTTAGGCCATTTTCTCTTATTTTTCATTTCCTTGGCCGATTTTGGAACTTCTTGGAGAGGATTTTTCACCTAGATATTGAAGGTAAGTAATTCCTACCTAATATAAGTTTAATACATAGATTATGGGTAGATTTTAACATGTAAAATATGAAAATTTTAGGAGATTGGTGAAAAATTAAGTTTTGATAAAAATGGGATTAAACCACGAAAATGATTATGGAATTGAGTAGAAATTACATATTTGAGTTCGTGAGGTTATGAGTAACATTTATCTTCGAAAAGTTCCGGAATCCGGATACGTGGGCCCGAAGGTGAATTTTAGGAATCTTCCAATTTGGGTTGGGTAATTACTCTAGGGACTAAATTATGAATTTTTGAGCTTATATTGATTAATTTATATAATATTTGGCTAGTTTCGGATTGTTCGGCACCGACTTGAGGCTTTATAGTGAAATTGTGGGCCGAAAAGTAAGCTTTGAGACGAGGTAAGTCTCTTGCCTAACCTTGTAAAAGGTAATTTACCATATAGGTGTTTTAAACTATTATTTTCTTCTATTTGTGGTTGCTACGTACGCACGAGGTGACGAGAGTCCATGCGTAGCTACAAATCATGCTTAAGTCCGGGTAGTTTTAGGACCCAAATCATGAAATACTTGTATTGTTTGCACTATACTTGTTAATTTAAGTGCCTAAAATTATATTAAAACTTGATAAATGATTCGTTAAGACTGAATTTCACTTACTTTGAGTTTTGGCGGGTTACTTGACTGTTAATAGAAACTGTGCCTCCTTGTGTATTAGTCTTGTGATAGCTCTTAAATCGGATGTTTATAAAGTATTCTCTCTTCTTGTGGAGCGGGCTGAATGCCTCAGCAGTATAATAGATGCATCTATGGTTCATGCCGGTCGACCCTCGGCAGTGTACACATTATTTTAGATCGGGCCGTACGACCTCAACATAAATCATGCGTGATAAAGCTCGGAGGCCGATTACACTTGATATCATTCTTATGACTTGAGAAAATTATAATTTACTTGATGGCCCGTAATTGTTGAAATTAGTATGTGTTAGTGAAGATTTTAAATTGACTTTTAGTTAAAGAATCACTTATTTACTGTTTGTTACTGTGTTATTATTGTTATTATTGATGTATTCCATACTGGTTTAGAATTTTCATAATTTATTTATTGGCCCAT